GAGGCCTTATTATACATTGTGGATATCACTAACCGAATACCTATGGCTAGACTTGGGGTGAAGACCCCCTATAAGTTACTGCACCGCAAGAAACCAAATGTTTTAGCATTAAGAAAATAAGGCTCTACATGTTATGCACATGTCCTCAAATCTAAACGATAGGACTTAAAGCTAAGTGAAAGAGCCATAGAGTGCAAACTTTTAGGATTTTCTCCTAAACATAAGGGATACAGGCTGTTAGATGTACAGGCTAACAAATACTTAGTAGGTCGAGATGTTAAGTTATCTCCTACTGGTACAGACGCTAAGATTAGGCGATCATTTCCTACTGAGGATAGTAGTAATAATACACAAGAAGAAAGTAATATTCACAATTTAGGAAAGCGATCTAGAAGTGATATTGAAGCTGTAGCGGCAACGCCTGTTGAGTCCAGAAGCACCGAGATCCCAAACGGTGAGAGTACAGTACAGGTCACAAAGTGACATACGTAGGTCAAAACGCCGAAAGATACCGAGCGTTCGGCTCAGAGATTATGTCACACAGCTACATGCTGTAACGGCTAACATGCCTAAAACACAAATTCCGAAATCGATAAAAGAGGATCGATCTAGCCCACAAGCTAAGCAGTGGGAGTGTGCTATTAAAGCTGAGTATGATGCACTTTTAAGTAATAATACATGGGAGGTAGTACCTCTTCCAAAAGAACGAAGGGCACTTGGCTGCCATTGGCTCTTTAATATTAAATACAAAGCTGATGGGTCTGTAGATCGCTTTATAGCTCGGCTTGTAGTTCAAGGGAATACCCAAATGTATGGTATTGATTATAAAGAGGTATTTGCTCCTGTAGCTCGATATGAATTTCTGCGGCTTCTGCTCGCATTCGCGTAAGATCGCGACGACTACACAGTGTTCTCCTTATGAATTGCAATAGTAAATAACATGCGGATTGTTCTATTGCAACTAGATAAAAAAAATTTCATTAATATCGATCAAGCAAAGGTGTGAGTGCGACACGTTACATATAATACTATTGTGTGCACCCCCATACAACTACTTTGAGCTTTCGATCCCTAGTGTCAATTTAATCGCCTACACAAACTCAGTCCATACAAATTTCTAGTCCCCAAAATGACACATGTTTATTTTACATAGGGTTTTGTATTGGACCGATGATGGCCGTAAATAGTGTCCAGCTTGACAAATCTCTTTTTTGTATGTGACCGTCCCTATAAAGTGCAAAATCGCGAGCGTTAGCTCATATTTGCTATTTTTAAGCATGTTTAGCAACTTGTGTGAAAACCGCACCGCCAAATAATAAAAATTGACTGAGTTATGGGCACTCGACGAGGTGGCCGTATAATTGTCCAGGAGTGTAGGACAGTAAATCGGAGTACCCAAAAAAGTTCAAGGTCCCCTCAAATAAAGGTGGTTGAACTCATATAAGGACATTGAAGTAATGGGAGGATAACACAAGGTCAAAGTAAAAATCAAAATACCGGTAAAGCTACAAACTCCACTTGAAAGTTAACAAACAAGTTCAGCTTTAAGGGGACTAAAGGCAAACTTTAAGAAATAAACATTGGTTTTAGTGCATACCTAGCCCTAATATTGGCATTTGGGCATGTCCGGGCTATGAGTCCCTTACTCCAGAGTACTTTTTGACTATATTTACAGTGAATTTTACGCTTGACTCTCTAAATCGTTACGTCAAGAAGTACAAACGATCAAAGACTGGACGCCCACGAGTTGCTGAATGATCCGACTTTCCCCTTGCAGTGCCCCCCCATTAGCAGTTGGTGGTCCGTTGGATGCCCAAAGACCGGGACCATTAAGGCCTCAGTGGCTTAGGCCAGACCGCTATTGCCAGGAAGAGTACAAGTGGTCTGTGGGCGCCCCCCGGAGGTTTTCGTCGGGACCAGTACTTGCGTAGTATGGAGGCAAAATTGAGAGTGAGAGGGCTCGACAGATTCGGCACCCCCAGAAACAGGTTTATCATGAAGCAAAGTATTAAATCTGATTTTGTGTTAATTTCATTAAATTGGGCATTCTTCCAAACATCGTGGTGAGTACAAAAGTTAAGCTCGGTATTCTTGAAATCGTATTTTGGGATTGTGACACGGAAATAAACATGAAAGATCTGAGAACATGGTTGAAGTCGTACTCTCCAAGAAAGATTACAAGAAGGATTGATGGACAATGCTAGCTCTTAAGTGGGAGTGTTGTGCCATAGTATATATTACTTTGTATGCTACCGATTGAATAAAATGATAGGCTAAAAGAAATGTAAATCAGCTCTTATTGGCTAAGACAGTAGATGCACTAACAACCAGCCAAAGGGAAGAGGCCAGCATTGGCCATTAAAAGGGAAAGCCGAGGGATGTTACGGAGAGGTGGCGTGTGCCATCTCACTTTCCAAATACTGACGGCATTGCGACAACTACAACTACTCGTCTGACACAACAGATAGTCCATGACTGCTTTACAAAGATGTTCGACAAGGCGCTAATGCGCAACATGTATATACCTCATTCGCCGCCTGAAGACGAGTGAGATTCCATGCTCACTTCACTGCACGACGAATCGCAGTGGACATTCAGTAGTGCGGACCTGGCGGCGAGCACGTTTACCGGTCTTTCCAGCCGTTCGCGACTTGCAAAGCTTCCACCCGTGTGTACAGATGTACACAGGGAAGTGGGGGTCGAGCTCTTTTGAAATGAGACCGACCCCACTGCTACCGCGATTGGTTTTCAGCACATGCTCGTTTTTGGTATTGTTTGTTAGAGCTTCCCTGATCCGCAGCACCTGATGGGTTTTAGTCTGGTACCCTCCAATGTATTCCAACTAGGCTTCCTAATTCGCATCTCACGTTCGAGGCGGGTCCACATGGACCTCCACCTCGACCTGTTTGCCAGGACGTCGACACGCAGGGTCAGGCTGTGGCGTGCTGTCTGACTTGTCCTCTGCGCGGCCTGGCAACTCGTCAAAACATAATGTGGTGGCCCGCTTGGTACGTTTGCGAGAATTGTGACGGCGAGAGCCGGTGGTAGTCTCGTCCAACATATCATCATTGGCGTGCTCAATGTCATCGCTGCCGTCTTCCGCGCTGGGTGCATCCTCGCTGCCATCTCTGTCACCGTTGCGCTCCACTTCATCGTTATACTCTGTTTTGGCGTCGACCTGTTTCCTGGCTTACTTCCATGTCCTGATATGGGTCCACGTCCATGACCGCCTCGGTGCTATTGCGAGTTATTTTGGCACCTGCTCTGTGCGTCGTAACCATCGGTTCGTTACGAGCGGTTTGTGGTAGTTTCTTTGCACGACTCAGCGGGTCGCGGTTGCTGCTTCCGTGAGGCATGCAGGCTTTTGCAGCGAAAGGGCAGACGTCAGCGGCGGCGGCGACTCGATGTAAAACCCACTCGTCTTCAGGCGGCGAATGAGGTACTGTAGGGTAAGTGTTGGGGATTTGGACCCGTATGGTGCAAGGTAAAATACGTGACGGATCATAGACATGTCCATGATAGATCCTGGTTGTCATCATGGCATGGGCAGTAGTGCCACCGTTTTTTTAATTACCGAGTATACAGGTAAAGCTGTTTTAAATGGGTGCAATGTCCTGTTTTCGAAGTTTTAACTTGGCTATCCGATCTGATCGAAAACAGGGAGTGGGATAGAAAGTCAGGGCCAATGGAGCAGCTCGTCTGCAGCAGTCATCATCTTAGTACCGTAGGTAGTACTAAGCTAGTACTAGCGCACAGAAGAATAAACAAGACAGGACTATTATCTCGATCGGGTGTAAGCTTAGGAAGGATATGGCTTGTTCGGTGCAGTATTATAGGGGCGGCATTAGCAACCGTAATTTCTGGGTGAGCCGAGACGCCTGGACACAAGATTACTTCAAGCACTCATCGTCGTGCTACATGTCGAATATTGTATTAGAGAGAGACAGACTTATCTATTTAACCTTAGTTTCTAGATGTCTGGTAAATTCGAAGCCTGGTTAGCAACGCCGGTGTCTGCGCTAGATCCGGTGGTTGTGCGAGGCTTGTCATCTCATGTGACTGCTCTCTTGGTTCGTCTTCCAGTGTATTGATACACCCCTGTAGTCGTGTTCCTTGCTCCATCCCGTTCTGGTGAGCGGCGCTCGCGTTTCGCGAGCGCCGTTAGCTGCCTGAGTCCGGTTGTCCAAAACTCTTGTACTATGCCATCGATAGATGTCTCCTCGTGCTGAAATACGACTCGGTTTCTTTGGATCCACAGCGTGGTAATGCAGACACTGGATAGGATACGCCAGATCCTCGTCCATTCTTCTCGGTAGAGCTTCTCGTCCTCCGGATGAGCTGCTATGATGCTTCTCACTCTGGGCGTAATTAACGCCGGTGCTTTCCTGGCCGCGCAATTGCTGCGGTACTGTTCGCGACGACTGCTTTCTCTGTGATCTCCCGTCCAATGGCTGATTAGCTTGGACCAGCACTCCTGCGCACATGAACACTCCCAGAATATGTGCGCTAGGGTCTCCTTCACTCCTTGACACTCCGGCAACTTCCGGCAGCTATTATCCGTTAGTCGGCCTTCGTGGAAGAGATTTAGCTGTGCCACAGCGACCCGGTACGCCACCCAAACTTGGTACACTGTTAATTCGTTACCATGGGACCAGAGCTGCTTCGGTAGTTGGCTTAGGGCCCCGCATTGCCACTCGTCGGTTCTCCTCCGTACATCTAGTCCGTCCACTTGGGTCTTTAACAATCCTTTCTCTGCAACTTGGTAGCGTTTGAAAGGCTGCTTGTTGATAGCTGACAGCACTCGCTTGTTAGCAATTGTCGCCTGCACATCCCATTGTATGCCATGAATCGAGGGGTGTGCCTCGAAGACGATGTCCCCGTCATCCTGACTGTGCTCAAGCACCTGAATATCCGGGTGCACCTCTTCTGCTGTCGCGGGGCCCTCGACTACCCTCCAATGTATGCCGTTGGATTGTTGCTCGACGTCCCCTGGACAGCTCATGTCTGCAAGTACCAGTTCGGAGTACCCCGCTTCAGCTGGGTGGTTCCAGTATACCTTGCCAGCCCCACAAGCATCTCTCGAGTTTGTCTTTAACAACGGGAACGGTGTTTGGGACAACAACAACAATGCAAACTACAAAGCTACCAGTGCTGGACGGTGGATTGTCATGAGCTCTGTGAGTGTGCCAGCAGCCACGAAGACATCCACTCCAGCGCCAACCACCACTCCGAGTCCGAGTTCGCCTGCCAGTCCTACACCAACGTCAACGAGAGCACCCACACCAACAACACCTGCACCCACACCGTCCGGAAGCTGCTACAATTACAATGGCATTGATTCGTGCTCCAGTTCCACGCAGACCGAACTCCCGGCTGCTGACGATCAAAGAAAGTGGCAAACCCCACCTCGTAATGCTAGTGGATGGTCCGCCGAATACCAAGACTACAGATCGCTGACCGGGTACGCGCATGTCGTGTACGGATCGTCTCGTACATCTGCTACCGTGACTGTGCGAACATACCTGCGCGTTGCTTCAGCCTCATGTTCGTACACGTTTAATGGTGTGAAGTCGACATCCCCAACGTATCAAGTCACGAACTCGCTGAAAGACGACCTCGTGATTGTAGCTACGTGCACGGATGGGGACGAATCGTGGAAACTGGAACTTGATCCGGTCAATTTCGTCTGGCAGAACAACGCGGTAAACCAGCCCAGTGGCATGAAAGGAGGTCAGAAAGGTGCCATTGTCGACTTGTTCGGATGGCCATACAATGATATAGCTCAAGAGTGCACAGACTTCCTGGGCAAAGCAGGTTACATGGGCGTGAAGATCAACCCACCTCAAGAATCTGTGCTGACGGATGCATGGCCTCAAAGCGGCCAGAGAAACCCATGGTACTTCGTTTATCAGCCTGTGAGCTACCGACTGTACTCACGTCTTGGAACGAGAAAGCAACTTAGGACCATGATCCAAACCTGCCGAGCCAACGGAGTGCGCGTGTATGCCGATGCAGTGGTGAACCACATGTCTGGAGGTGGCAACGATGTACTCTCACACCGCTACAGTAGTGGTGGTTCTTGTGTCACGTGGGGTGCCAAGTCCAGTTCCAAAAAGTCCCCTTACTACACACACAGCTTTACATACGGCGTAAATGCTTATACAAACGCTCACCCCGCGCTTGAATTCCCGGCTGTTCCGTTCGGACCGACAGATTTCCACTGCGAGCGCTCAATGAGTTCGTGGACCGACCCACTTCAACTTGAAACAGGGTGGCTTAGCGGCCTGACGGACTTAAATACCGAGACAACCTACGTTCGTGAGCGTATTGCTCAGTACTTCGTCGATCTCTTGGGCATCGGTTTCAGCGGACTTCGGCTGGATGCACTCAAACACATTGGACCTGTCGACACAGGCGCGATTTTCGGGCTTTTGAGGAAATACATGGGTGGAAGCTCTCCAGACGACTTCATCTCGTGGGGCGAAGTGATCTTGGGTGGTGAAGCCAGCCTTCTGGCATGCAACGCCAACTCGGGCTATAATTTCTACACTGGATTGGATGCAGAGTACGCTGCCAACGGGATCTCCTCCACTGATATTGCCAAGCTCAAAATCTGGTCGTCGGACTACCCGAAGGAATTCCCGATTTGTGGTTCTTGGATCTTACCCGCGTCTCGATTTGTGATTCAAAACGATGACCACGATCAGCAGAACGAAGGCTCTTCCTCTCGGGACATGGGCGATTCCGGGTCAGTGCTCATTAAAGACAAGGACGTTGCTAAACATCGCTCTTTCGAGGTCAAGTTGTTTACTCGCACCGATGCGGACTGGCAGATCAAGGTTGTATTGAGTTCCTACACGTGGTTCACAAACGGAGCCGGTGGGTTTCCCGACGGTTATTCTGACTGTAGCGGGTTTGACTCATCTCAAGGCCAGAAATGCACGGCCAGTGTGCCGTACGAAAAGGCTTTCCGAGCTGGATCCTGTGGCTACACGGTTGACGGTTTTGCTGGAGGCAAGTACACTCGCGTGCACCGCGATCTATCGATAGTGAATGCGATGCGTAGCTGGGTCGGTCTTTCGTCTGTGAAGCTTTCGGACCTTGGAATCACGGGAAGCTGCTAAACATTGTTGCAGGGCGGTCATTCATCACTGTCTTTAATGTGACTTTGATTGTAGTTCGTGTCAAAGGGACACCGACCAGCGGTTTTTGTTGAATGCAGTATACGTAGTTATTGCTGATTTGAGAGGACCTATAACCAACGCGAGTGAAAGGATACTATGTACTGATTGTGGATGATAGTGCTGCCTCGGCACGGGGAGATATAGCTCCAATCGGTAAGAGCTCAGTATGCTCATCGTTATCAGGCATTACATGACTTGTTTTGGCGTGAATTGCTCGAGCAGCGAGCAAAGTGCCAGCACCTGCTAACGCAGCACCACAAAACCCGACGAAAATCCACATTGCGATCATTGCTCTAATGCTTTCCACGTACTGGGGATCCGATGTCATCAATTCGATGTGCATGGGCGATGTCTTCAAAGACCCTGCTTCTTGATATGCAAATAATTTGCTTATGACAGAAGTGTCGTCTAGATCCGGTCTTATGAAATCAACCGACACGGAAACACAGCCATCTGAGCCATCCACGCACATAGTTTCAGAACTGTTGACGACATATATTGCCTCTGATACTCCACTGAGTGAGAGCTTCGGATACACTTGTCCATTTATTCCAGTGAAAGACTGTGTTGTCAGCATTCGATACAGAACTGACGTCAGCGCTTTTGCAGAAAATGTGGACCCGCATACTGTTCCTTCAGCTTCAACACATTTAATGTTCAATGAAACCCGGTCAAAAGCACATTCGCTTTTTCTTTGGCATACCAGTGAGCAATTCTTCATTCCGAACGTTGGTGGACACCAGCACACATTCCCCGTTGAGCTTTTCAGACATTTGCCACTGTTCAGACATTCATATTCTTTTTCACAGCCAGTATCATCGTCTTCAATGACGATCCGAACGCCCTGATCTACCACATACCCGGTGGACGGATTGTTTTCATTGGTACCAACTTGTAGCCCATCATACACCGTATCCATGCTAGTGACCTTGTGGAGAAGAATAGGCTGCTTCGATTTTGGAACAAGCTTTTCATAGTTCAAGGTGAATGGATAACCCGCGTCGTAAATGTCGTTTCCGACTGGATAAATGTTAACAAATTGAGGTTCGTACCAGTTCAAGCGTGTGAAAGTCAACAGCAAAGGTGAAGTTGAGAACAGACTCGTGTCTTTTTCGTACGATATAGTGATGGTGACATCTTGCATTGGAGCAGAATCTAACGAGACTGAGAAATGTGCCTTTGGACTGCTTTCTGACTCGATAACTTCGCTCGTTGATATGGTCACGCCAGGCAGATCATCATCTATTACAGTCACTTCAATCGATCCAGACGAAGACTCCCATTTGGCTGCAATATGGAAGGGCCATTTGTCATCCTGTCGATCACGAACTACAAAATCCGCGCCTGAGTATGAAAGAGATTCTAAGAGCTGGACATTAGAGCGTACAACACCATTACTGCCAATCGTTTGAGATGGCACAATCAGGCCATCACTGTCAGATGACGATGAGCTTATTTGCATCGTGAGTGTTCGGTTTCCGCGATAAGTGTTGTCATCAACCGCCAAAAGGGTCAGCTCCTGAGCTATATTCCAGTTTTCAGGGGTAAATTGAAGAGTAGTTGACATTCGATACCGTCGAATGTCACCAGATTCATACTTTGCACCAACTAAATCTGTCAATGAAGCGGAAGATCCAGACGCGTTGGTTGCATCAAATGTCGTAACATCGGCACTTCCGGGTTCTACTAAGACAGATACGAAAGTATCAGCAAGGGGTTCGCTCGATAAGCTTACAGCTACACTGTCTGAAACACCAGAAAGATGCATACGTGACAAGTGACTTGTCGCTGGAGGCACGCTATCTGGGTTGGTAAGATCACCCCTGACAGGAAGAGGAAAAGTTACAGGTTTGTATCCGGTCATAGTGATGCGCGGCGCGAGAATACAGCGGTTGATCGAATCGTAGGATTTATCGAACACGATCAAAATGCTGTGCACATTGAAAAGTGAGAGACCATTCATCGTCACAATTTGAGATGCACCAGACTTCATAGACACTGGAATCGTTGTTATCTCAATCCAATCCTTCGAGATATCGAGAATGTCAGATGCCTGACTAGTGATTGCAGTTTTTGGGTTACCCCATAGCGTAAGTTGTCGTATATATTTCGCTCCAGTCAGCACTGGGATGGCTAAAGACAAGTTGGACAAGTTCGTTGCTGATTCAAACCCAGCCATTATCCATGCGCTGCCAGTCTCAAGGGGTTTTGCAGTACTGTTGGTAATGCAAGTCTCCCATAGCGCACCAGATACCTCACTGAATGATACCGTACATGCTTGTTTGGAAGTGTTGTGAAGATCAATAACTTCGTCCGGATCAGTACTGCAGCGGAGATAACGGGCCTCAAGCTTCGACGGTTTGTAAAACGAAGTAGCATTTGGATACGCGTGACTTCCTTCGATCACTGTGAACTTCGACTTTGAAAGAATGACCTTGTTCTCATCATCTTCTAATATCAGAAGCTTCTTGACACTGGAATCATTGAATAGATTACCGTTGCAATTTACCTGAGAGACCCCACACAACGAATCTCCAGTGTAATCAGGATCCATCGACTCAGACGAATGAGTCATGAATACTTCGCGATCACCAACCGCAACCTTGTCGTCTATAGCGTGCACTTGAATTCGCTGAAAGTCACGCCAATTCCCTGATGTGAAGACCATTTCGTGACGACAAATTCGAGTCGTATCATCACAAGGTGAAGGATCTGCATCTTGCATGGGAGAAAGCGAGAATACGATTTGATTTTCACCAGCACGATAGCTCGTAACACTGGGCATGTACCCGCCAACTGTAATCTTGCTGCTCGCAAAAGCTTGCTGATAGATTTCAACTTCGTTCAACAAAATACTGTTGTCCCCTTCGACCTGTAGGCGCAGATATCGCGCTTCAGTAGAAACGCTGTAGTCAGCAATAAACCGGTCCTCACCAAAATGCCCATTCGCTTCTCCATTTACACGCCATCGGTAGGTGATCGTCTCCATCTCCGATGCATCAAAAGAACGTGATGAAGCTTCAAACTCATGCAGATAAAGCGCGCTGGATTTTGTAGACAGGAAGTCCTCAGTTGCATTGTTTGTAATTGGGAATGGGGTAGTTGACAGGAAAGTCCAAATGTTCGCTGTCAATTGATCTGCCTGCAAGTCACCTTCTGGTACCTTTTTCTTAATGGTGATCACGATGTCCTCGATGCGTCGGATCTGGTTCAGGTCGATCTGCCACCACGGATAGACATCCTCAATTCGTGACATTGCGTAAGTTGAAGCAATCCCTGAGTCGGATTTAATGTTACCATCAATAGCAGCACCAGACTTTCCTTGCTGACTTTGAGAAGCTGTACCCGACAAAGCAAGGTTCACACTGCCGGACGCTGTAACTTTAAGTTGAGGGTGCAATGTGGTATCACTGTGCTCTTTTGACGCGAAAGTAACTTCATCCACACCATCGTAAAGGAACGTGACAACGGATCTTGAGTACACTAAGAAAGAAATGGTACTGAAATTCGAAGATCGATCTCGCTGTTGCGCCAAAACACGATTTAAAGCAGTGGTGACGTCGATTTCAACCCACTCGGACGACGACACAAACTCATTGGTATTCGGATCAATCTCCGTACTTTGATTGATAGGGGTTTCTCCATCGGTCTGCACGTAAACGTCCTCGAATGTCGTCGTACCCGGAAAAAGTGATGTCACGGCAGATCCCTTTTCCGTCAAAGAGCATCTCGGAACAGGCTTAGAATTAATTTCTGTGCATTCGGTTTCTAGTAAGGTTTCGTTCCAGGTGTCCGATCTCTCAATTGTAGAAGTGGTAACACCCACAATAATTCCACCCAGACCGCGGTTTTCTCCTCCAGATAATCGAAACAATCGGAGCATGGCCAATCCAACCTGCGAGCTGCCCGTTGCTCTTTGAATTGACGGGAAAATGTCAAATCGAACTACTGCTACGGACTTCACAGTACTCTGTAGTGTGCTTTGCGTCGAATTCGATGCCACCATAAGTGACGTGGACGTTCCTAAAGCTCCTTGCGAGTGTGTTGAAAAAATAAGAGTAGTATCTGCGGTAGGACCAAGTGTAACGTAGAATGGCTCGTAGTTGCCTTCAGCTGGCTCCCAATGCATCGGTTCACTACCTAATTGTAGTTTGTACGTCACATCATTCCCTCCGTTTTCTCGAGCGGTCACACGAGAGGAATCCAACAGCACTGTAGCAGTAGGAAATCGCTGCACAAACAGCGTACCCGCTGGCTGATAGCCTTGGTTATACATGGCATCACCGCTACTGGCCGAATAGACCAATATTTTTGAGTAGTGCACTTCTTTTGAGCTCATACCACCAACTGCCGAGACGCTGACGCTCTGCGCTTCCCTCCATGACGAAGGTGTAAAGTGAATCGTTGCAGGCTCAATCTGAATCTTGGAACTCGCGTCTACCACGAATGAGATATCAACGTTTGCAAGTGGGCGAGTCGTCAGCTCAATTTGGACGGATGCATTATGCCCAATTTCTCGAACACATACAATACTTCCCGTATTGCGATCAGCCTGCCGATAGCGGACAGTCTCAGGTATAATACGGAGTGTTGGTTGATCATCATCGAATATGAATGCCTTAATCGATGATTGTGGCGCGGGAGACGTCACAATTCCGTCACTTTCTGCCCAGGAAAAGGCATGGTCGGCGTTTCCAGTGTCGTATGTTCCCCATTTCTGCGTGTATATTGCAACAGCAAGCGTATAACCGACAGCACCGGCTGTTGTCTTGAATGGAGCATTGTAGGATGTATCGGTACTGGTGGCGGTGATAGAAATAACACTACTGTGAATCCCACCTGCTACATCATCCGGCACTGCTTCGACGATGACGGTCTGATGTTCTTTCCAATTCGTAGACGAAAATGATAGAGAGCTTGAAGATAATTTTAGCTCTGCCGCAGTAGCACTCAAACTAACAGTGACATCCGAAGTAGGTTGCGAATTCAATCTGATGCGAAAAGTATCCATTTGACCAATTTCAGACACCGACAGACTCGCTTTCGACACGATCACAGCAGGGTCCCCATCGTCTTGTATCGTAACAACTGTTCCAACATTATCAAGCAACTGATTTGTGTGCGTCTCAAGTGCGAAGAACTCGTCGTGGTGCCAGGTCCATTCGACAGGATGTTCGTAATCTACCCCGAGGTGCGCTCCACCGACCACATTCTTAAGAACGACCTTGAATACTTGATCAGGTGCCTGGAAAATGTCGTTATTTGTAATCGAAATATCGATAGTTTTCAACGCTTCCTTGTCAGCAAATGTGAGTGTTGTAGTCTGGATGGGTGTATACGCAACTGATTCTTTTGCAGTGCAAGGGCTAATATGAGTACAGCCACGTGTCTCGACAACTCCGTAATCGTAATCTACGTCGTATTTGGATTTCCCCGGGACGATTGTGCCGCTGTATGTTGCAATGTCCACCTTCACCTCACCGTCCGTGTACTTGTTGACATTAGTCGCATCCGGGATTCCTGAACGGATAACTTTTACAGTGACTTTACCAGCATTTTCTAACACCTCGTAATGGGGTAAAGCGAACGATATTGTTCCCGCGTCGCGATCGTCAATAATGTAGATCCACATTTCGGACTTTGTTCCGATCATCGCCCCGCCTGTGACGGACAACAAACGAACTTTGATGGCCCTCGAATTTGGTTGATGCTTATCGTTATTAAATACCTTGACGGCGAATGTTTTAGTTACTTCATCCGTCGCCCACGTAAGCTCTTGGGAGATTCCTAAGTAGTCGAAAGCCTTGCTGCCGCCATCTGTGGCATTGCTGTCAGCTCCAGCCGTAGCCACTTTAAGAGCAACGGGAACATAGGACGCGGATGAAAAGCCGATGCTTCTTTCGATAGTCACGACTGCATTCCCACTGTCTTCTCGGCAGAAAATATAAGGAGCTGCAAAATCAAACGTTCCAGCATCACCGTCGTCCGAAATAAACACAGTTGCGATTGGGTTAGTGGTTCCAATGCTTGCCGAAGAGTCCACACTTTTGATTTCAATGTAAAAATACTCATTCGCCTCGTACTCGACGTCATTTATCAGCTCAATGTAAATGAAGCCTTCGAGCTGGTTTTCCTCAAAGTTCACTGCATAAATCGGATCCGCGAATTTGAAGTTATTGTTGACTGTCGCTGTTGCATCCATGGGTCTCGCGAGTCCATACTCGACGTTCACACTTCCATGTGCGCCACCCGTTCGAGCAATCTTTACCTTTACTGTACCAGCATCTTCCTGGAATATGTAACTTGGTGCATCAAAATCAAAAGTTCCAGCTACTCCCATAAACACTTTTAGTCGAAGGAACAAAGTTTCAGAGCTATGTAAAAAATCTCACCATTTCCAAGAGCATGAACCGTAGCTACACCAAGCATAAAGAATGCGAGAAAACACAGCACCAGACCGCTACGGCGACTCCCTCGACTCATTCTTGCACTGCCAGCTAACAATAAACACCCGATCAGTTTTTCGTGTTCATGTGGTGTGGCTTACACAACTTCAACTTCCCCGACCATCACTCCTAAAAAGTACATCAGCGCGCACGTCGTTTCAAGGTGCTCACCCGCGCCGCGCTGCTGTTTGACGTGCCCCTGGAGGTTCACACGCTTGCAGACACAATTCATGTCGATCTTTATCACTTTTCTCAAACGACCTGCTCTCACCTCATGTCGTCCTGGCTGCATGCAAGTATCTCGAGCTGAGAGAACAACTCGAGAAAAGACACCACTTCGGCAGCAGCGAGAATCGCGCACTCAAATACGGCGCACCCTTTCTCGGCTGGCGGAGAAGGTTTGGTATGAAGCCTGAGGGTTTTCATAGACGTCTCACTTTTAGTTTATCCTCCCGAGAGCACAGACCCCAGCGACAGCGGCGACTCATTCTCATGGAGTCGGTGGATCAGACGGCAGCGAGCTCTTCTGCACTAACTCCGTGTATCAAGCGAGAGATTATATATGGTGTCATGGAGCCTCAGCGCAGTAATGATTGCCTACAGACCAGAACAGGAATGACCCCAAGCAGGCACCACGACTTTTTCCCATGGATTCCCTACCCAATGGGTCAACCTGTTGTTCCTGAAAATGCCCTTCCTGCTGTCGGCGATCGACGGTACGAACACCTTGCCAAGAGGATGCTGTTGATATATACAGGTTGTGAACTCTAGTGTGCTGTATTTTACCATTCGGTGTTGAAGCAGGCTTGACCCTCTCGAGTGGGTCGAACTTCTTGAGCAGACTGAGTGCTTGGATTATGTCAGTCCCGATATCGACGCGTGCCTCGAGCGGCATTCCAGGATGGAAGGAGGCCAAGAGATAGAGGTCACAGGCCGAGAATTTCTCGACAGCCCAGCCATACCAAAGCTCCCATCGCTGAACGTCCTTTCTTCTGCGGAGCGTCCAACGATACTGAAGCCACTCACCCGTCCTCGACGTACACAATTGGGCTGTATTCCTGTTTTAACCTAAGCTTACACTGCTCTGCTGGTCTTGTTTCTGGTGGCTGCAGGCAACGTGTCGCGGCGTCCTGGTCTACGCGAGCAGTTTCCACGACAACCCGTGGTGAAACGCGAGCACGCTCATCAAATGGGCAACTATCCTGCTGCAGCTGAACAACTGGTTCAACTGAAGAGACCAACTAGGCGCAACAGTTCGACCGCGAAGCGAGATGCGGGAGACTCGGCATCACGGTCGGCCAGCAGGGCGCTCAACTTCGAAGCTTCTCAACATCAGAAGCCTAATACTCGACACAAGCGTGCGTCGTGGAGTGGTCGATATTCGAACGCCGCAGGTGCACCACGACGGCAATGTAAGTCGGCGAGAAAGTCGAAGGACTGCATGATCCCTGGCTGCACGAAAGGTGCTCGCTCGAGAGGACTCTGCAAGCGACATGGTGGTGGGAAACGATGCACCTTTCCAGAGTGCACTCGCAGTGACCAAGGAGGCGGATTTTGCATTGGACACGGCGGAGGTGCGCTGCTGAGACTGTCAAAACATTTTTTTTTTATTCCGTCTAACGCTGCTTGAGTCGGCAATAAGGCAAGCGGTGCGCGACCGAAGGATGCAAGAACTCGGCCCAGTCTCGAGGACTCTGCAAGAGTCATGGAGGTAACTACAGAGTGCAGCAAGGGGCTGTATCACACCCCTTGTTTTCTGTATTTCTAACCATGACCCATTGCTGTGACAGGAGGAAAGAGATGCCGCGCCAAAGGATGCGCCAAGAGCAGCCAAGCAGGAGGATTTTGCCGAGGCCACAGACCGCCTAGCGTAATTACCTAGGTTGCGTTAGCGTCAAGTCTCACGATCCAGCGCATTAGCCATCGACTTCGTGAATGCCTGTCTCGCCGTAGTGTAGTCAAGAGTCAAGTTTTAAATTTGAGCAAGTTGAAGTGAGTGTATGTTGCTAGACGTATCTGTCTTATCTCTTTAATGATTGGTCGAAATGAAGCCCAATTCGCTAAATGATTGGTGCAGCCATCTGATGCTCATCCTCCTCTTTGCCGCCAAAACCACCCGCCAAAATCTCGCAACTCTGGACGTGCAGTTGACTTCGCTTCGTTCCGGCTAAGCACCACACGGTTATGGCGGACCTGCCAATCCAGGTGTGTGCTTAAAGGCGGCTGCTTTGTGTCTCCTATAGCTAACTCTTTTTGTCGTTCTTATAGTGCGTGAAGAATGTTGTGCTGGAGGTCACACGTGACGACGGGGAGATCGACCGCAGCACTCTCCAGACCGAACTCGTACTGAAAAAGGAGGTGGGTAATGCGCGTCTTGTGAGCGGCGACACCATGCTCTGGGTGGGCAAGGGCGTGTTGTCACACAAGGACTCGACACTGGACTCTGCACCTACGCGCACTGTGCGTGTCGAGAATGGCAAGCGGCGCTTTGTCTTCACCGTCCCGTTGGATGCTGCGGGTAAACACTTTTATAGCCAGCTTAAGGACCAAGTGGACGGTGTGGAAATCCGCAAGAAGAAGCGCAAGATCCGCAAACAGCTGAGCCAAGTCATGGGCTTCACTCCCGTCAACACTCTCAAAAGCCCCATGAAGAGCCCCCAACCACTACGCAAGAGTCCGGCCGTGAAGCCTCCCATGACACCCAAGCGCAGTCCTCTTGCAGACATTGGAACACCCAACAGAACTCCACAGCTGACGCTCCCGCCTCCGCTACCTGTGACGACGAAGGGGTCAACTTCCTCGTCTCTTGCGTCTCCAGTGAGATCACCGTTCCGCTCTCCATTCCGTAAGAAAGCTCGACTCTCGCAAAGTCCGTCAAGTGGAGGAAAATCACTGAATAGTGTGGGGAAAACACCACCCAAGTCTCCTGCGCGTGAATGGCTCAGCCCAGCTCGATCGCTGAAGTTGCGGAGTGGACCGACACCGCCAGATCTCAAGCAACACACTCAAACCCCGGAGATCCGTAGTATGGGGCATAAAAAAAGCTCTGGTGGGAGTTCTGGTGAAAAGTCTCGTCAGAAATCAATCACGGGGTCGATAAATAAGCGCGTTCGATCCCTCCAGCTGATGCTGGACGACGAGTCAAGTATCAAGGAAGCAGAGAACCATGCTCACAAGAAAATTACGTCGCAATTCCTCACGATGAGCTCTCCTTCAAGTTTTCACGATAAAACTGCTCGTGTACTGGATATGTCGATGGAGTCTGCGTCTGAGGAGATCGAACAAGCGAATGATAAGACGGAAGATTCGTATCCGAGGTCCAGTGACTCACCTGGTGATGGAACGCAGAGAAGTACTCATGGCTTGCTCAATCTGGGCAATTACTGCTATATGAACGCTATCGCACAGGCGCTGGCGGCTCTCCCCGAGTTTGTAAGTGGCATTCAAGACGAAGAAAACTTGCTGAAGATTATCCGAAAACAACCTCAACCGAGTGTCAAGGTCAAGACAATGGAGCAACTCAAGGCCATATTTGATAATTGGCGGACAAGCGGTGATTCCAAACATCTCCCTCTGCAGTACACGCTAAAGCAGCTGCTTCAACAAGTTATCAATGGCAGTGAAACGTCTATCAACCCGGAACCCCTCAAGAACGTCATGGGAAAGAAAAATCCCATCTTCGCAACGTGCGTACATCCTTACTACTACTAATATGGAATTTAGCTCGTTCTAACCGCATTTTTGGTTGCTGCAGGCACTTTCAGCAAGACGCTCACGAGTTTTTGTTAAATCTGGTGACGGAATATGAAAAAGAGCTCGTACAAATGGTTCATGAAGTCTCCGAGAAGATTGAGGAAGAGGCCAAGTCGGCTCCTCAAGTACAGAAGAGCAGTCTTCTGAATTTCTTCCGCAACGGCCCAAAAGCGAAGGAAACGCAGAATGACAAGACCTTCGATGCAGAGTCGGAGCTCATATGTCGTCTCCCTCCAGCGAAGTGCTTTCGGGCGGAATTGAACCGCACGTTGACGTGTCGGAGGTGTGGATACAGTCGGAAACAGGCAGAGACCTTCTACGATTTCTCTTTGGATCTACCGTATTACGCTACTCCGGAGCCGGAACCCACAGCTGAGCAGGAGCCGCAAGCGCCACCCTCGCCTGAACGACAGTGTTTCTGCAATCTAACTCCCCTTACAAATGGATCAGGCAACGAGCGCTACTACTGCTGCCCGAAAGCGTCTTGCAGCTACCGTGAAAAAGTCGTGGAGAGTCTGGAGTCGGCACAGTCTCCTGCGAAAACTGCAGATACAGCGCTGAAACGTGTTACGACGCCGTCAACCCCAGCGTGCGGATGGTCAGCTCGGCCACCACAGCTTGAGCTAGAAACGTTGCTTCAGAAACAATTTGAAAGCGAGGTACTGGAGTTGACTTGCGAGAAGTGCAAAGACGGAAAGGAAGCGGAGTCGGCGTACCAGATCAAGTCGTTGCCGTCGGTCCTTGTGTTTCATCTGAAGCGCTTTGAAGTAAACCCACATACCGGGGCATCGTTCAAACGTTGCGACCCGGTCATACCACCTGCTGTGCTTGATCCGACTCGTTCCATTTCCGCTCCGTCGGGCGGTGAATCCCGTTATGTGCTGAAAGTACGTAACCCTCGGCTTGATCGATGCAGACGTGTTTGCTAAAATATTTTAACTTGTGCGCTCTTGGCGTGTTCCAGAGTGTCATTCACCACCTAGGAAAGAGTATTGACGAAGGACATTATGTTGCCGACGTATGCGATGCTAATGGCCAATGGATCCGTCGAAATGATACGCATGAGTCTAAGGTACGCATCGTCTTCTTTCCACCTAGAATTCTGCCGAGTTCCGCAACATTTACACTTCGTGCACTTCCAGATCTCAGAAGATTATGCCCTACAAGCATACCGAAGCCAAGAGTCATGCTATATGTTCTTCTACGTCAAGTCCGAACGAAGCAATGCGGATGGTGGTAAGGAAAACGTACCAGTGAACCGCACTACACCTCAAGACGAGAACGATGAAAACTCCAGCCAGCAACGCCAAGGTGCTGCCAGTAATGGGCTGAGGGCATTCTTATAGTCATCTAAAAGAACGGTACTGCTTTTTGTGTTGATCGGGTATATTAGCATTTTGAATAAACTACACCACTCACTGTTGTGTTGTTGCCTCGCGGGCATTTGCAATCTCTACTTCGTTCTTCGAGCGAAGGTATTGTATCTTTCTACAGAGGCGGGTTGATGGACACAAAGTCTACTTGGACGCGGCGTTGATGGTAGTACAGTAGTACAATTTAGAGGTAGTTTTTGTCGGAGATGCAAAGACTCATCCTTGAGAAATACCATTCGGGTTTGCAAACGCGCCAGGAGACTCGGTCACTGGAATCAAGCGCATTATTATACCTGCAAAGTATCGAACAAAAGGTAAGTGGGTTTGACGACAACGAAGTCGGATACGTTAGCTTACCAACAGGGAGGGAGAGAGCGCCGAAGCCGAAGCAAATAAGCCAATGCGTAAATGAAATGCCACTCGTTTTAATAAAGTCGCCACCGAACTCAGCAAGTAGTACCTGGACGAACAGCGTGATCAAAACTATCATGATGAAGAGAGGGTTCGCCACCAGACCGTTGAAAACTCGCCAGTCGTTGTTTGTCTTCCGCGCGTTGAACTCGTTAAATAGCTGACTGAATACGAAAGTGTTGAAGATAATAGTGTAATGGCGATAGTCGTAAGCAGTACAAGTATCGTCCAGACAATCGACCGGATACTCAAGCACGGTTGAGTTCTGGGCGTAGTCGTCGCAAGATAAACTCCAACATGTATCCCCGTTTACTGTAACGCAGGTGTCGTTGCTGAGGGTGGGAAAGCTGGACTTAACGCTGTATTTCCAAGACACACACTTGTTACCGTCGTGATAACCAAATTGTTCTGCGCCGTAAATGAGCAATAAAAAAACAAGGAGAAGCTGAAAAAGCGACTGAACAATGATGTTCTTCACCATGCATCTTCCAAGAAGCTTTGCACTCTTCTTGTAAGGACGTAGATCAAGTAGTGCCTCCGTGGGGGCTTCCGTTCCAAGTGCCAAAGCACCCATGGTGTCCATGATAAGGTTGATCCAGAGCATCATAACCGAATTTAGTGGTGGTTCCTTACCAGTAACGGCACTCACGAAGGTAACCACAAGCGCCACAATGTTGACGGTTAGCTGGAACTGCAAGAACTTGCGGATATTGTCATAAACGCAACGTCCCCACAACACAGCCTTCCGAATCGATGAAAACTTGTCGTCCATAATAATAATATCTGACGCTTCCTTGGCAAGATCGGTGCCTGTAATTCCCATCGCCATACCAACGTCTGCTGTTCGTAGAGCTGGTGCGTCGTTTGTGCCATCACCAGTCACACCCACAACCTCTGATCGATCTTTCAGCAAATTCACAAGACGAAACTTGTCGTCGGGAGAAGACCGAGCCAGGACTTGAAGACGGGGAATGAGTTTACTCACCTCTTCTACACTCATGAATCGGAATACTGGACCTTCAAGCGCGACACCGTCCTCCGTCATGATGCCACATTGTTTCGCAATAGCTGATGCAGTGTGGATGTTGTCACCCGTGACCATGCGTACCATTATACCGGCACGTTTACAGTCCCTAATGGCATCAGTGACATCAGGTCGAAGAGGGTCCTGGATACCAAAAATGGCGTTCACAACTAGCTCCTGGTCAGGCGCATCAGGAAGCGACTGCAAGTCACTTGGTAGCTCTCCGGCCTCGAAATCTCGGTGACCGATACAGATTGTGCGTAAAGCAGACTCGGCCATTTGTCTGATGATACGATTCAGCTCGTCACGCTTTGATGAGGTCAGTCTCTGGATATGACCATCGACGTCAATGTACTTGGTTGCTCGTGTCAAAATGACCTCTGCGGCTCCCTTGGAATAGAGACGACAAGTTCCATCACTGCGCTTGACAATTGCAGCCATGGATTTCTTTTCCGACGAGAAGGGAAACAGTCGATCGCCACGTGTAATTTGAAAGTTTTCTCGGCGAAGGTCAGTGATGGACAACTTGAGTTTGTTCATCCACAATAGCACGGCGCCTTCGGTTTTATTACCTTGTACCTGTGGCGCGCCATTGACATCCTTGAGATAAGCGCTAGTGTTAACCGCAATGTTGACGGCAAGTTCGTCGAGTGCTCTTTCATTCACTTGTAACTGCGTTCGACTTGTGTTCGTAAGCTCGTCCTTGAAAAACTTGCCTAGAACCCAGCCCTGTACCACAGTCATTTTGTTTTCCGTAAGCGTGCCTGTCTTGTCGGAGCAGATACTTGTGACATTGCCCATGGTCTCGCATGCAGCCAGAACACGGATAAGATTGTTGTCCCGAAGCATCTTCTTCGTTGAATAGGACAGCGAAATCGTCACGGCAAGTGGCAGTCCTTCTGGAATTGCAACGACAATGATCGTGACACCGATAAGGAATGTGTGTAAAATATACGACGGCCACGAGTATTCCAGCTTCTTGTCGTCTGACGTGGCGTAGATGATGATCATCGCCACCATCGTTGCGATAGAAAAACCCATGCCCACATACCCGATATGCTTTGCCATTTCTTCTAGCTTCTCCATAAGAGGCGTAGCTTTCTGCTCGCAGACCAGTTTGGACTTGATTTTTCCCCAGCGGCTCTCAGAACCAACAGCGATCACTAGACATTCCCCACGACCGCTGGCTACAAGGCAACTCGAAAGCAGGAAGGGGTCCTTCTTGTGCACCTTACTCACATCATCAGGTTCCCCCGTAAGGCTGGACTCGTTGCATTTTAGATCGCTCCCGTTAATAAGAACAGCATCCGCAGGCACTCTGTCACCTGTTTCAAGGATGATCACCTCACCCACGGATATTTCTCCTACGGGAACCTGATCAGGTTTGCCGTCTCGAAGAACCTTCACCAACACGTCATCGTTTTTCGCACTGAGAGCACGGAATTGTTTTTCCTTCGTGTAGTTGTTGATTGACGTCACGACAGCTACGAGGATCACTCCGAGTAAAATTGCAACTCCTTCGCTCCAGCCAGTCTCCGGGTGCTCCATGTAGCCGGTAACCATTGAAGCAATAGCAGCAATGATCAAGATGATCAGCGTCGTGTCTTGTAAGCTCTCGACAAAAAGCCGAAACAAGCCTTTCATTGGAGACTCTGGGAAGAGGTTCCGGCCAAATAAATCCCGTCGAACCGTGAAGTTTGTGTCAATCTCGGTTCGAGGCAAACCGTGCTCCACGTTCACACACAACAGTGTGGCCAATGCAATTACGCCTCCTATCCGAGCTAGCTCCTCAAGGTTTGCCTCCGTCATTTGGTCCTGATTGAGCTTTCGGACCTCTTCCAATGTTATCCCATAGGGAGACGATGGCGCGACCTTGCTGACACTGGAGCTTGCAGAGCTCTGGGTGGTGCTTTTGCGAGGTGTAGGAGGCGATGACGGAAGCGGTTGAACCGACTTGAAGTCAGGCATTATACAGAGTAGCTAAACGTAGCTGCGGGCCAAGTCGAAGCACTAAAGTTTCGTAGTCGAAACGGAGACCAGAACTTCTAGCAGAGTTGCATCCGGGTCCACGGAATGACCAGGATGAGTGTTCTCTTTCCTATCCTCGTTTAGAGCTGTCAGTCACGCGGAGATTTTCGTTTAGCGGGACGTTTCGCCTTGCTGTGCCATGCCCATAGATAGAATCGAGGATTGCAGTAAAAATAGTTGCGGAAGTTGAACAACAGTACTGTTCTCTGTTAACCAATCAGGTGATTAATGGTTTTGATTGGCTGAAATGCGATTGTAGACGACCTCCGTCCATGAGCTTCGGCGGCGCACTTGAACTTCGCTTAGATGCCTCTCTGCGCTGCCTGTTGCGTCACCAAAGGCTTTAACAAGTGAGATCACCTGAACCCTCCTTTGTGGTAGAATGACAGGTATTTCAGCGCTAAATTTTGCATTTTATTGCTGCTTGGAAAAGGTTTCATGGCGGACAGCGTCACCTGCAGCGTCCAGTGTGTAAGGAATGTTTTAGGAATGGGAAGAAGCCGGTGGACCTTGGAGGCGAGCCGGAAACGTTGCTGTGAGTTGTATGGTATTACTTTGCGATCGTAGGTTACCGGTACTTGAATTTATTGATAATGGGAGAATCTTCTGATCGACAGGATCCGAGCTCCAGGCGACAAGAAAACTGTGAGTCTGGCAGGTTTTCAACTGCTCAGTGTCATCGGACAGGGTGCATTCGGCAAGGTGAAACATGCCGTCTAAGAGGTTGTGCATGGGTACTTGATCAGAGGTTCTGAGAACTGTTGCCTTTGGCGCTAGGTGCTACTGGTGCGACACTTTACCACCGGAAAGGTTCACGCGATGAAGGTGCATCCACCGACAGAAGCTTCAAATGCTTTCATTTCACGCTTAATTTATTTCTCGTGATTGCTATTTATTTTTGTGGTGTGCCAGATCATCAGTAAACAGTTCGTCATTGATATGGATAGCGTTCACTACATGAAGACTGAGCGCGATGTCATGACAAAGGTGGATTGAAGACTCTCTTGATAGTTTGCCTTATATACTGTTTAATCTAGCTCTATGATACCGGCTCTTTGTAGATTCGCCACCCTTTCGTGATTGGGCTGAATTATGCCTTTCAAACCGAGTCCAAGGTAAGTGAAGTTTTGAGCATTTGGTGTATCATCAATTCGTATCCAATCTCAGTTTTTTGACCCGGTTATAGGTTTACCTGGTAATGGATTACCAGTCGGGAGGAGAGTTATTCTCTTATCTGAAGGAAGAAGGCACTTTTACTGAGGTCGGCACTTTTTGGCAGTGTGTTGGAGCTGTATTGATCAACTCTACACTTATAGGATGCCACACGTTTCTACTTGGCCGAAATGATTCTGGCACTGGAGCACCTTCATGGACATGGCATTATTCATCGGTTCGTTTTATTCGGCGTGCTGATATCTGAACCTTTTCTTAATTTGATTTTGGTATTGCAATCCTTCTAGCGACCTAAAGCCTGAAAACGTTCTCATTTCAGCCGAAGGGCACATCAAACTGACCGACTTCGGATTGGCAAAAGAGTATGTTGAAGGACAGGAGTTGCTAACAGTTTGCGGCACAAAAGAATACATGGCCCCGGAAATGCTACTCGGCAAGGGATACGACTCGGTAACATGTGTATTTTTACAAATGGGCACGTTTTGTTGGCGCTGAGTCGGGTTTGCCTTCACCAGGCTGTAGATTGGTGGTCACTTGGCGCTCTTGCGTACGAGATGCTGACCGGGAACCCGCCATTCAGATCGAAAAACCCAGCAGACTTGCACAAGAAAATTCTCTCAGCTAAGGTTAGCTTTGTGGCTCACTAAGGATTGCTATAATCTCATGGCGTACCCTTTGTCCACGTACAGATCCAATTGCCGCGATGGCTTTCAGGGGAAGCTCACTCGTTGATCAAGTCTCTGTTGGAGCGTAATGTAAGCAAAAGACTTGGCGGTGGCAAGTCGTCCATGTTCGTGGTGAAAGGAGTGCAGGCTATAAAGCGCCACCCCTTTTTCAAGGTGAGGCTTGCGTCGTGTTAATGACGCACTTTAGACCTTTGACTGAAGCTCATATCTGTGTGAAAAATGTAGTCGGTGGACTGGGAGAAGATGGAAACTCTTCGCGTTCCTCCACCAATGGTGCCCAGTGTTTCCGACGAAGCGGACACGAGTAATTTTGACAAGAAATTCACAGACATGTCAGCTTCGGACCTGCTGTGCGACCCGGTCATTGAAGAAGACAACAACCTGTTTCGAGGTTTCTCATTTTGCCGTCGAGACAGCCTTAAGGAGATCATCTCGAACCCGCAATCACCGATCAACACAACGCTGCTACCAACTATTGCAAGTCTAGTTATTGATGGCGACGACATCAAGGACATCAATGACGCTATCGCGACAGCAGCGGGCAAGCAGCCAGCAATTTTGACCTGAACGACGGAATCACTGCTCCTTCTTCTCCTCCAACTTCGCGGCGAGCGTGTCAATCGAGCTGAACTGACGAGTCCAGCGCGAGTTGTAGAGGAATGGGCGCAGGTCGAAGCGGTTGTCGTCCGGCGAGTAGTTCTCAGCGTGGTAAGACGGCGTCAGCGTAGTCATCTTGTGACGGTTAACGGAGTAATAGAAGAAGAATCGCTTGACCTTCGTTGCCACTTCGGTGGGCGCCAGATGATTCCACAAGTTTGTGAGCTTGCGGAACATCCAGTAGGGGCCACATCTATCGATCTTGCGCAGACGACCAAAGAATCCCAGCTCATCGTACGTCATGCCCATGTCTACCTCGTCTAGTTGAGAGTGATCAGCGTCTTCTTCAGCATTTTCGTCGGTGGGACGAAGCTCTGCCGTCGGAGGAGCTTCTTCAACCGTCTGAAGAGCAGGATAGTTGTATTTAGTGGCAGCCCAACGAAGAAGCTTCTTCAGATCGCCCTTTGACACGGCACCGATCGGGTTCAAGTCACCACTACTGCAATCGTACTTTGTCATGTATCCACGCAGCGCTTCATCGACGTTACCAGAGCTCAGCACAAGTAGGAAACCAGTCTTCGAACGCACCCAGGGTAACAGCTGGGCAAGCAGGTAAGCCATCACCATACGAAGACGAGCCTGAATGTTCTGAAGCGCCAAGTCCTCTTGCAAGGTTCCCCCTCGTGACAAATACTGAGGTGTTTTGCCAGTCAGAAGCGAGAAGGTCTTGACAACGGCATCAACCATCATGTCCATGCCCATGTTGAGATGGTAGCATCCGATCTCGCTGGCGAGCGTCGCAGCACGCTTCTTGGTGGCAGCAGAGCTGTTCTTCGTGCCCATGTACGTCGTGTGAAGAATGTGCGATGCCAGATCAGCAGGCGTCAAAGGTTGGTACTCTTGGTCCGATATTCCCATGATACGCTGAACATCCTTGATAACCTGTTTGTCACCGTTGTTGGCAGCCTCGACCACGAGGTGGCACATCACTCCGACGATGCATGCCACTGAAGACGAGTCTGCTCCGCCCGAAAGAGGCAAGAAGAAGCCGCTACCCCCACTACGACGCAAGTAATCCCACATCCAGCACGCCGGCCCCAGCGCGATCTCCTCCTCGGGGATATGGTAGCGCACATCAATTGCAGGCGTAGGGTGGGCAATTGGAATGTCCTCCTCATCGTGACACAAGCTGAAGTCGACGTCGACCTTGGTAATCACAGTGTCCAATGAGCTAGCTTGCTCACTACGACTACTGACAGAGCCACGGTACGATCGCACATCATCAAGATCAACGGTGGCCGTGACCACCTCCACGTCCTTGACTGAGAACTGCGAGCCCTGTGCTACCACGTGGCCGTTCACCACAATGACAGCACAGCCATCAAAGTACAGACGACCACCGTCACAACCTTGTTGGTTGGCGTATAGATACACACCACCGCTCTTGGTAGTCGCGCCACGGATGAGATCCATGCGCTGGTCGAGCTTGCGCAGTTGGTGGTGCGATCCGGAGCCATTGCCGATGATCTCCACGCCAGCAAGACTGAGGTTGATGTGCGGGCTGTCGGGCGTGAAGAGCTCCTCGCACGTCTCGGACCCACACGATGAGTCGAGTGTGGACACAGCGCCAGAGCCGAAAGGCACATGCACCGCGCCCGTGAGCTTCTGTAGACTGGCGGGCAGTGCAAACTTTTCAAGACCGCGTGGGTTTCCCTTGTTTAGGTTGGGCTTCCACGTGGTGAACCAGCGTTTCTCACGGTAGTTGCCGTCGTCGGCCAGGAAGAGCTTGGGACGGATAAACAAGATACGCTGATTTAAACAGAACACGCGGCAGTTGTAGCGCACGCCGTTATGCATGACGGGCATACCGATATCGCACAGGATGTCATTGGTCACGTCAGAGCGCAGGATGGTCTCGAGCGACTGCCAACAGTGGAAGAACGTGTCTTGCTCCAGGAAATGATCTTCGCACCCGTAGCCGCACACTTCTAGCTCGGGCCCCACGCGGTAACGTGCGCCGCGTGCCTTGGCCACGCGAATTGACTCGATGATGTGCTCCAAGTTGCCATCGAAATCGAGGGCCCACTGGTTCAGGTTGCACGTAGCCACGGTCACCAGCGCGCTCATGCTTTCGTGGGCTTAAGGGAATCGACTGTTTGAAGGGTGTAGATGACACAAAGTGGTGTGGCAGAGCTTAAATACGGCTGATCAACAGTAAGTGCGGTTTTGGACCAGGCACGATTTGTTAGGTGCGGCTTTTGTGGTCGACAAGTTGAAGTTACCTGCTCGTTGTCCACTTGTCGTACAAACGCTCTCTGCTTATCGCTGCACTGAAGGTAAGCCTCGTGAACCTTTGCAGGTCCGGTTCGGGCTCCTCTGTCACAGAGGAATGCTACTCACGGGGTGGCTGCGGTGGCAGAGCCTCAAGTGAACTTCCACTAAAACAGGTTTTGCTTACTAGTTGTTGCCTCTCCTATTAAAGCGGGTACATGGATGTTGCACCGTGTAATTTGCATCGCTGGCAGCGATTCGCTTATGTCGGCGGCATTGTCGACGCTGATACATGTACACGTCCGTCTGCCACGCTGGCCTCGTCTCGCCACTGGCGAGTCGCCAGCAACCCCAACAACACCAGCAGTATTCACTTCCACTGTTATTGGATACCGGTACGCGGTTCGCCAAACCCGACCACTGAACTTGGCACCAAGCCGAGGCTTGGCTCCACTCGGGCAAGCGCCGCGAGTGGAGCTCCATCGATGAAGCAACGTCCGGTCAACACTGGCCATCAACATTGAGACTCTCGATTCGAGTCTTGGATGGAGAGTTGTCTGCAACTGTACCCTAAATCTGCCCTACAAAAATAAAGTAAAAATGAGTCACCGCACTCATCACGTTATTGCGCGCTTAAGGGCTTCTTCGTGTTAGCTAGCGTTTAAATCGCTATTTCACTGGCCAAAAAGCGACGCTTGGTCCTTTTTACGCGGCAAATCTTGACCGTCTCTCATCCGTATCGGCTATGCACAGACATTTTCGCCATGGTTCATCGAGCCACACAGCATTCACCTGGCTGATTCGCAGACCGCGGTGCTTGTTTCACCTCGAGACAAGCCTCCACAGGGCTCACGCGACGCACTAGAGCGACGGGCGATGGCGTTGTGCATCCCTGGGTCGTCGCAAAACGCGTCGGCAGCCGCGAGTGTAGCCAGCACGAGCGACAGCACCAATCCGTTCGGCCGACGGCTACTAACCAGTGTCGCCAGCTCCGCGAGCGCAGGTGACGATGGCTACGTGCAGCTCGAGACCGAGTTCCCTGGCGCCATAGCTATCTCCATGGTCGTGAACGCACTGTCCCTGCTTGGCTTCGCTTTCATTCTCACCACGTACCTGTTGTTCCCACCCGTGCGAAAGCAGCACTCGTCGCTGCTCGTGTGGGTTGCGCTCATGGGGATGCTGTTCCACGGCACTGTGCTAGCTCAGACATCCGCTACCTACGGTACTTGCTGCACCACGGCCCCTGTCGTCCAGCTCGCGCTATTCTCACACGAACTGTACTTCTTTGCACTCGCATTCAACTTCTACTTCACCACCAAGTTCCCCTTTCGGTCGTCGAGGTGGCTCAACCCGATTTATCACGTGGTGGTGTGGGGCACCAGTGTGGCTGTCATGATCGTAGCCTGGCAGCTAGGAACAGGCAGAGTCAGCTCCTACGGCTACTGCTGGTATGCAGCTGAGGACGGCAGCGAAAACGACGATGGCGAGTTTATCCTGTTGGAGATCTTCTTCATTCCGGTTTGTGCTGGGTACTGCGTGAGCATCGGCTGCTACATCTTAGCTACCAAACGCGTTCGACTCACAATGGGTGGGAACTCAAAAACTCGCACGAATCTGGATTCCATGCGCAGTTTCTTGTTCTGGAGCTTTTCACTGTGGATGATCGTAACGATCCCCTACATCTTGCGGCACCGCAACGTGGTTGCCATAAATTCGTCTGGGGAGAAAGCTCTTCGTTTCGTAGGACGCTTGGGAATTGCGTTTCTGGGTACCGGCAGCGCGATATTATGGACGAAATCTATGGGCGTACTAAAGACGTTTAAGCTATGGCGTCAACGCAACTGGGACGACTACTTCAAAGTATACGACGCCTCATGGGTGCTTCGTCGTGAAATCTTGTACTTTGCCACCAAAGGTATCCAGCTGGGTGCAAGTAGTGCCAAGGGAACCCCGGAGAACGACAGTACCAATCCAAATGTCGAGTCGATTTTCTCCTTCACGCAGCGGTCAGGTATTTTTCCGTGGCAGCTACGACTTGGCGCTGTATCGCAGACCCCAAGTGTGCTGTCATTTGAATTGGATGGTGCCACGTCTGGTCAGAAGGCGATCTTCCGTGACTTTGAACCAGAGGTTTTTCATGAAATCCGACGCATGTCTGGCATCACTCGCGAAAGTTACATCCAATCGTTCAAGGGCAGTACACGCGAACGTTTCAGTGAAGGCAAGAGTGGTTCCTTTCTCTACTACACAGGCGACCAGACTTTCATTCTCAAGACGTGCACCCCAGCTGAGCAAAAGTATCTTCTGTACATCCTCCCTCAGTACATGGCCCACCTCCGTCGCAATCCGAACAGTTACCTCTGTCGCTATGTGGGCTGTCACGAACTGGTGATGGAGCACCACTCCGTCTTGTTCATTGTGCTCACGAACATTCTGAACAATCCTACCGTGAATATTGACGAGCTCTACGATCTCAAGGGTGCATGGGTTGGCCGTCACCGCGGCGACTCACCTAGTGGAACTCAACGTGTGTGCAAGTTTTGTGGTCACGACTTCGTTGTGGGGATGTCCGAGGAGATGTGTTCGCAGAACCCAAATGCTGGATTCGGCCATGCGGAGTTTGTGGTAGGAAAAGATCTGAACTGGTCGTGTCGACGCCTTGGTCTTCCCACCGATGTTGCTGAGCAGCTAGGCAGTCAACTATACGCTGATACGGAGTTCCTACAGCGTATGAACTCGATGGACTATAGTCTAGTGATCGGTCTGAGTCGCCACAAATCGTTTTCGACTTCCAGTGGAGGTGGAACAGTTCTCTCACGGAGCGGTGGCCCACCAGTGAAGGGAAAACTATTTGTTGGTGGGAATAGCAGTGACGAGGCGGGCTACTTGGAATCACTGAGTCCTAATGGTGCGACACTCCAAGGACTAAACCGCCCTAGGGGTAACTTAACGACATTCGCTGCGGACGCTTGTGTCGTGAACATGGGTATCATTGATATTTTGACCCCCTGGTCTTTCAAGAAAAGCCTTGAACGCTGGGTGCGAGTGCGACTACAGTGTCGTGACGCGAAGGGGATTTCGTGCATGAAACCCATTCCGTATGCAGACCGCTTCCGTCGTAATGTGATTGATACTGTCATTTTTGGTCGTCGGCTAGGCTCTAAGAGACGTCATCCGGAAAAGCAGCAAGAAGAGTCGATTATGGTGGATTTTACGAGTATGTCCATGGACGTGAATTTCTCTATGGACATCGCGAATCTGTCAATGGATACGACGTCAAACCTCTCCATGGAGATATAAGACTCCAACATCTACACACCGCAGCGGAATGATGCCACTGCCACTATTCTCGACCGTCGTTGGATGAGATTTTACTGAAGACTAACGCAGTAGACCGTGAGCACGCAGGTCATGGTCGCGTTCTCCCATCGAATCGATACACTTCCTGGATACCCAGAGGATACAAACATGAATAAAACCGTGTCAATCGAGAGCGACCAAGGCAACTGCGTCGACACCCAGTACTCACCGTCACGCTCAGCGTCCCAGAAGCACGACGAGTTGGTGTGGTAGCCAGCGTTCCTCTTCTGCAGGATCGTGCAATTCACTGTAGCAACGCCCAACACGGGCCTTCGTTAGCTTGCGTACGTACTCAATTTTGCCTGTAATTATTTAAGACAATTGCAAACATCCACCCGTTGCATCAATTGGCTTTCTTATCAACGCACCAATGTATTTGAATCCGGCCGAGCCGTTGGCCACACCCTTCAGCTCCTTCAGACACTGCGATGAGATGTCGGTCGTCCACTGGTGCACGTCCGCTGCGTGGTAGCTGTGACCGGTCAAAACCTTCTCGGGGATCTACATCCAGCATTAACACGCGTTAAGTCTCGTCTTCTCGCTTCTTGTAACCCAAATGCAGCGTTTTGGACCTCCTGGGTGATCTTCTTGACTTCGTCCTGGATCTGGTGGAACTCGTACTGCAGCAACGACCACCACATACTGTCCTCAGTCATGTGACCTAGTGATTTAGCTGCTTTTCTTGGCACAATAGGCCGCTAAGGGCACTCACCGCGGCGTTCTCCATGATGATCTTGCGGCGCTTAAAAGGGCGATCGCAACTCATGCACGACTTGAGTTCACATCCTTAAGTTCGCACTTCTGCAGAATCGTTAAGTTCGCACTCTTTGAACCACAAAGAAGGCGGCGATAAGCAGATTGTGAGTTGCGGCGTGGACGAGCTGTTAGCGTCCGTTCCAGTGCCCCGCGCGCTCTACTAATAGCTTCATCCACTCGACCATCGTCTTGGCCGTCGAACGACGTACTTCTGGTGCTGGCACGTGCTCCATAGATCACAAAACATCTCCTCGATCGATGGCAGTGACGTCGCAATCTCTCGCATTCGCGTCGCCGCGGGTTTCGACGACTAGCAACGGTTATGAGCCCCTCAGTATTAATGGTAATCGACCAGGTGAGCGAGCCGGCGGGCTACGCTTTGCTCAGGATGCAGAGAGGCGCAGTACTACAGACAAGCAAGACGAGCTGCCTGAACCCATGGACATTGTGCCGTGGCGTATGCGTGAGCGTATGAAGACAATGGACGTGGCCCTGGTTCTGTGTCTCAACATTGGAACAGACCCTCCGGACGTGGAGAAATCGTCTCCTTGTGCTCGCAAAGAGTGCTGGGTGGACCCGTTCTCTATGCCGGCCAAGAAGGCTATTGAAACCATTGGCAACACACTGCAGTCCCAGTACGAGCGCTGGCAACCACGTGCTCGCTACAAACAGAGCTTAGATCCGACGGTCGAAAAGATTCGCGAGCTGTGTGTGAACCGACGAAGACTAGCCAAGCACGACCGCATGCTATTCCACTACAATGGCCACGGTGTACCTCGACCGACGCAGAATGGAGAGGTATGGGTGTTCAATAAGAGCTATACGCAATATATCCCGTTGCTAGTGTACGACCTGCAGTCGTGGGTGGGGACGCCGTCGATCTACGTGTTTGACTGCTCGGCGGCAGGAGTCCTGCTGAGCCATTTCACGTCGCCTCCAGCAAGTCAACCTCAAATGCACGGACGAAATGGAAGCCCATCAGCTAAGGAAGCCATCGTGCTGGCTGCATGTTCTGATGACGAACTGTTACCGATGAACCCGGAGCTGTGTGCAGACGTGTTTACTTCTTGCTTGACGACGCCTATTACCGTCGCGCTGCGATGGTTTATCTCGCAGAACGAACTCTCGATGGCGCATTTGGATGCCAGCTTCATTGAGCGTATCCCTGGAAAGCTGACCGACAGAAAGACACCCCTGGGAGAGCTCAATTGGATTTTCACAGCAATTACCGATACAATTGCGTGGAATATGCTGCCTCGTGAACTTTTCCAGAAGCTATTTCGTCAGGATTTACTTGTGGCGTCGCTCTTCCGTAACTTCTTGCTAGCAGAGCGTATTATGAAGTCTGCAGGTTGCTCACCATGCTCGCTTCCGGCCTTACCACCGACAAATCACCACTCTTTGTGGCGCTCGTGGGACTTGGCTGCTGAGGTTTGCTTAAATCAGCTCTACAAACTGTCAAATCCATACCCGAATGTTGATATGAGCTTCCAGCCGTCGCGGTTCTTCGCGGAGCAGCTCACAGCGTTCGAGGTATGGCTACAGTTCGGGTCTTCGGAGAAGCCACCGCCGCAACAGCTGCCTATGGTTCTGCAAGTGCTTTTAAGTCAAGTTCATCGTCTTCGCGCACTGGTGCTACTGAAGAAATTCCTCGACTTGGGACCGTGGGCTGTGAACTTGGCTCTTTCTGTTGGAATATTCCCGTATGTACTCAAGCTGCTCCAATCTCCAGCGAGTGAGCTTCGACAAGTGCTTGTCTTTATCTGGGCAAAAATCCTGGCGTTGGACTCAAGTTGCCAAGTGGACCTTGTGAAGGATGATGGTCATTCCTACTTCATCTCTCATCTCGCTGCAGGGCTTCACAACGGTGGAGGGAGCCAGAGTGCTTACAGCGCTGCGAGCAGTATGATGCCTGCAGAGCAGAAAGTCATGGCGGCCTTCATTATCTCTGTGATCTGCAACAAGTACCAACCTGGCCAAAAGAGCTGCTTGCCACAATACTTGCACAAGATTTGCATCAATCTGCTTCAAGATCCTGACGAAGAAGTGCGCAAGTGGATTTGTCTGTGTCTGGCGAAGTTGTGGGATAATTTTGACGACGCAAAGCGTATAGTGATCGAAGACAAGGTGCCACGGATACTTGGCGGCAGGCTTCGTGACGATCGCCCCGAAGTGCGTGCTGCTGCCGCTTACGCGCTTGGAACTTTAGTTGGCTTCCAATGTGACCCCAACACAAGCGGGAAGCATGTTGATATGAACCGCTTAGAGGATTTTCTTCGACAGCGAGCGCATGACGACATTGTCGTAGCTTTGGAGCTGCTGCGTGGTTGTCGGGATGGATCTCCTTTGGTACGTCGGGAGAGTGTGTTAGCTCTGGCCAATGTTATCCTGCACAACTACCACCAACCACGTTTCGAGTCCGTAGCCAAGCACTTTAAGAACCAGCCAGTGAGTGCTTCAGCCAATTCTCCTGCTGACCACAGATCTTCTGCGGTTGATATGGGCTTTCAGAGCGGTAATGATGCTCGAAATTCGCTTGAGAGTGTCAACGACGCGGCTTTTCAAGGCAGCGCAGATGTGTTCGTCGACGAGGAGCTTCTGGATGAAATCGGAGAGGATGCTAAACACTATGCGCAAATCTGGCATGTGCTCAAGGAAATGCAGTCCAGAGACCCATACCCGCATGTGGTTGACGCTGTTAAAGCGATTGTCAGCTTCGTGAACGCCAGTATCTTGGAAGCTGAGCAGGATCAACTGCGAGAAACCAGTCAGACGGGAAGCGTGTTAGCTTCCCCTCCGCGTAGTGCAGTTCCTGAAAAGCTCACGGCCACGCGTACGGAGAGAAGTCCTGCTGCGGCGTCTCAATTTCGACGAGAAGGCTCTGTGCCCGGGTTGGCGAACAACCAGGTTCAACGAAATGACGACCGGTTTGGAGTCCCCTTAGAGAATACATCTCTCACCTCGACAATTGCCGAGCAAGGCAACTTGATTAGAGCTCCAGAGACGCAAATGCAACCTGCTGCGTCTACATTAAAGGGATTGCGATCAGCTGCGTCGGTGGGCAACTTCCAGCAGTATCAAAACAAGTTTCAACAAGGATCTGGCAGTATTCAGAGCACTGGAGATATCCACGTGATGCCACCTCCCACGAGCGCAGGGAGTAAAATGATTGCAGGACAATATCTTGGACAAACCTCTTCTCCCATGGGGGGATACAGAGTAGCGAACAATGGTCTGCCGAGTGAAGGAGGCATGGGAGGCTATCCAGTGCACGTTCCCCCTCCGATGGAACGCTATGGCCGCCACGACGACTTCCCGTCAACACTAGTGTCCACATGCTACGAACGACACAAAGCTCACTTCAATGATTCGATTCTGGAGCCCGTACAGGAGGACGAGGACCCACTAAGTGAGATGGGCGCTGAGAGGTGGGAACGCTGTCGCCGCTACAACCGCATTCGAGGTGCAGCTATGAAACTTGCACCTGGTTTCTCTTCTCCTCGAAGCTCGACAACGCAGAAATTTGGTTTAGGCATGCGGGATGTTAGTCCGCACAATCCACCGCCGTACTCACCTATCGAGTATGATGCTGCACGTCGTATGTCAACTCTTGGTGACCAGGAAGAAGTAAAGGACTTTACGATGAACCTCCGTCAGCGGGCTGTGCTGAATAACGACGCAGAGATGACATCATTGTTGCTGTTCCACCCGTACGAAACGATGCTACTTGTTGCTGACGAGAAAGACCAAATCTCACTTTACAACTTTGAAGAAACGGAGACGAAGATGCTGACGTTTGGAAACAAGAATCCGCCCGGGTAAGTGTTCGCTGTTGCCTTTATAAATGATACCATATATCTAACGTCTTCTTCGGTGGGTTGGTTTGTACTACAGCTCGCGATTGACATCATTGAACTGGATCAATGAAACTGAGGAGAGCCTCTTGACATGTGGCTCGGATGATGGCGTTATAAAGATTTACCATGGTTTGCACAGTCCTCACCAGTCGATAGGCAGTCCGAAACTTCTATCCGCTTTCGTTGCGGTGCCTGATCTAGTGCCGGGAACTCGTGGATCTGGTTTGGTGATGAATTGGCAGCAAGAAACTGGTATGATGTATGCTGGTGGCAACTCAAGCATGCTCCGAGGCTGGGAATTACGACAAGAGAAATGCACCATCGCACTTCCTACTCAGACGGACTCTTGCATCACAAGTATGACGAGTGATAAGAGTCTCCCCGGGATGCTGGTGGCTGGTTTTGGTGATGGCACTTTACGAGTCTTTGACGCACGTAGCAGACCAGACTACGCAGTCAAAACGATCATGAAGGAACACACGTCGTGGGTGGTGCAGACCCACATCTACGCCGGTCGCAATGAGCTTCTAACTGGATCCGTGACCGGTGAGTTAAAGTTCTGGGATATGCGGTATCCGAAGAATAGTGTCAAGTCTTTGGAAGCGCATCGATCACCGATGACTGCCCTCGCCGTGCATGACTACGCCCCGATATTTGCAAGGTACGTTATGATATGATCGTAGAATGCTTAGATTTTACTTACGCTCTCTCTTGCTTCGCTTCATGCAGTGGTTCGCACAATCAATTTATTAAAGTGTTCCGGAGCGACGGCGAGCAGTTGGCGCTTATCCGTTACCACGATGGATTCCTGGGTGAACGAATCGGCCCCGTGTCATGCTTGGCATTCCATCCGCATCGACTGTTCTTGGCGGCAGGTGCTACCGACTCTGTGGTTGCTGTTTATTCGAGTGACAAGTGATCAAAAAGGGATAGACTCTCTTGTCTGCTTGTAATTCAACAAAGTGTGATAATGCAAACTCGTTCGTGTTCGCGGATTATAATTCAATGCTACACCTGCACCGATCACCTCCGACTTGCCTCTCATTAGTTGCTGTTGATAGAAAACTCCGGGAGTGTAGCGCTTTGGAAGCGATCACGGTCGTGCTTCGCACTTAAGTCGGTGTTCGGCCCAGTGGGGACAATGCCGAAGGTGTTGAGGTGAGTGTGCGAGCCGTAGTAGTGGAACTTAATGTGCTGCATGAGAATTTTGCTGTCGATCGACTTGACCACGGGCGGGAACTGGAAGATATCCCGAGTGTACTGCAACAATGATCAGAAATATCGTCAACGTTAGTTCGGTGTCGTCAACTGATGCAATACAAAAACAAGGATAGCCACTTACGTTGAGCAGATTCGGGTACTCCTTGATCATCTTCTTGTTCGTCTTGAAGTGCACGTGGTAAACTTCGTCGAAGCGGATGAGCGTCGTGAATAGACGTACATCCGCTTCAGTGAACACGTCGCCCATAAGGAATCGCTGCTTGGATAGGATCTCCTCCACGCGATCGAGGCTATCGAACAGCTTGTTCACGGCCTCGTCGTACGCCCCTTGCGAGGACGAGAAGCCGCACTTGTAGACGCCGTTGTTAATGTTGTTGTAGACCCACTCGTTGACCTCGTTGATCTGCTCGCGGTATTTGGCTGGGTACAGGTCCACCTTGGACGGTACGATACCGTCGAACGACGAGTTGAGCATGCGGATGATGTCGGCAGACTCGTTCGAGACGATGGTCTTCTTGACCTTGTCCCACAAAACAGGCACCGTGTAGCGCGTGTTGCCTTCAGAGCACATCTCGTACAGGTCGCGGACATACTGCGCGTTGTTGATCGTGTCCGGAATGGCGCCATCTGAGGAATATTGGCCATGCCCCGACGGGCCGGCAAGCCATGGGGTCTTCTTGGGGTCGGCAAAGGCCCAGCTCATGTGCTGGTCCTCTGGGTCGTTGGGGCGAGTACGCTGGAAAACCGGGTGCACGATCGAGAGTCCGATGGCGCCTTGAAGGCCCTTGACGTAGAGTGTGATCAACGTGCGGTGAGCCCACGGACACGCAAGGGAAACGTACAAATGGTATCGGTTCGCCTCAGCGGGAAACTCAGCGTCGGCGTTAGGCTCGATCCAGTTGCGAAACTTGCTCGGGTCGCGTACGAACGTCCCCTTCTCAGAAACAGCCCACGTATTCTTGGTCGTCATGGTTGAGTTTGTTTTCTTGGCGGTGTTTGCTTGTAGCTTGGTGTCTTTGCTAGATGCTGTAGCCTTTGTGCTGGTCGCTTGCTGCTGAGCCGGTAGATTCGAAAGTGACGTCAGTGAAGTGGAAAAATTGAAGCAGAAATTCGTTTGATACATGTACAGTAATCAGTGCCGCAAGGTGATACGCTGTTTCGGAGCATCGGATTGGTGGAGACCCGAAGATTACACATCCAAATCTTTGTGACTCTGTAGTCACTGCAAAGTAGGGATGGGTTGTATTTTTTAATTTAAAGAAAAATCTGGTTTAAAAACCGTTTTTTTTCTTTTGTTTTTGCCTGTTTTCCGAAAGACATTCATATCACATGCGCTTCAGTAGTACTAGCTATACTACTATTCCTATTTCTACTACTATTAATAATACTGCTATCCTACGTTCCCTACTTACTTGCGTGCAGTTTGTATCGGTAAGTCAGTCACGGATTATGTGGCCTCCGTAAATAGAAGGTCATCGTGAATTGGGATGGAGCTACCACAGGCGCCAAGGCAGCATTCGGGGTCTCCTTCCAGCTTTTCTTAGGTCACTAAATTCATCGTCGGCAACTCTTGGTGTCCTCGTCTGTCAGTGCCTCATCTCGAATAACACCATCCAAATGCTGTGGTTTCTTGAGTATTTCGGAGACAAATCGTGTCTTAAAAGACTGTCTTTGAGGCGGAAACTTTTTCTTTGCGACTATGCACAATAGCGACTTACACTGTTTCCTTCGAGCTGGTGCACAGTACCTGTTCATGTTTGCCGACGGTGGTCACTGAAGCTCGTGAAGTGGTGGGCAGGGTGGGCACCAAGCGAAAAGTCCGTAACAGTAATTAGATATCTGCTGGACGACGTACTGGATCGAGAAGAGAACCAGCTGGGCGGCTCGCTGGCTCGGACGCGACGTCATGCAGTAGCGCGACTCTCGAAGGTATACGGGATATCGACTGTGGAGACCCCCAGTTATTAGTACGCAGGATACTCAGCATACAACCGAATCAGCAGACGCACAAGATCATACATATACCTCTAATACCGAGTTGGGAGAGTTGAAGTCACTGCTTCAAGGGCTGCATGATATGGTCAAGACTATTAGCGAGACACCGCTTTCAACCCAGGAACAGCAGTGTGACGAAGGTATTGAAGTGCCAGCGGCTGGTAATCATGAGCTAGGATTTGATACGACAGCACTAGTGTCTGAACTTCCGGACGCCAAGTCGTGGAAAGACTATGTTCATCAGTACTGGAATGCAAATCCGGACTGCCACCAGTGTCAGGCAGGATCTGACATGCTTTCACATGAGCGGAAGGTTCATCGCTCGCGTCTCTCCAGAATGAAGATCATCGCCGAGTTCATTCGCGAGCAGTACGACGATGACCAAGACAAGTTCGAGAAGGACTTCACAACCTTCGTTGGCAAGGAACTTACCGTCAACAAGAGTTCGTAAGCTTAGTTAGCGAAGGGGAACCAGTGAGGTAGCAGTGTACCATCGCCCTTCATTGTACTGTCGTCCCTGACTGTAAGTCTCTTGTTGTACCATCGTCCTTAATTGTACTGTCGTCCCTTATTGTACTATCGCCCTCTGCTATACTAACCCCCTCAATTCTACTACTGTCGTCCTATATTGTACAGTCATCCCTTATTGTATCCCTTATTGTACCATCGCCCTTTATTGTACTATCGTCCGTTATTGTACTTTTTATACTCACAAATTCCAGTACAAAATTGAAACGACTGATTTGCGCCTTAAAGTTTTAAGCACTACCACTCATATCTACTCCCCGTCTTTAAGGGCGTAATCCTCATGCTTTTAGAAGAGCTGCTGAAGTCACTCGCGTGATATTCGTCGACACTGTTGTCTCCATCGTCTTGCGCAACGTCTGATTCTTCTAATTCTTCATCCGTTTCTTCATTTCTAAAGGCGTTATCTTCCGATCCTTCGTCGTTTTTCTTATTACTGAAGGTAGCAGGGAATTCATTCCCTACGAAGAACTGAAGCGTCCCATCGAGGCCAAGGTGCAGCATATCAGAATCGGAATGACTATAAGAGCAACCGGAACAGCAATCGAAACAGAACGGCAACCGGAAGAATACCTCTGAAAAAATCAAGAGTCACAATAAATTTCACGGTCGCCGCAAGGACACCGACTCCGACAGCGAGTATGGAATCATAGCCATCACCACTCTCGACCTCAGACGAGAAACAGAGGCTGTAAGTCTCACCGCCCAAGATGCGGAGCATGACCCAGTGTGGACTGTCGACTCGGGCTGCACTCGCCACGTTACGTCCAATTCAAAGTGGTTTGAGAAGCTGATCCCAAGTGCTGGCAAGTCAATCACTGTCGGCGGCAATCACCAGACTCCGATAAAAGGAGCTGGTGATGTCAAGATGACAATCAAGATCACGAAGGGAAAGAAACGAGAAATACCCTTGACCAACGTGCTATATGCGCCCCAGCTGAAGCTCAACCTACTCTCCGTGCGCCAAGCCGTCGAAGATGATTTCAAAATCAACTTCCCCAACGTCAAGAAGTGCGTTCTGTTCTTCGCTAGCCGAATTAAATTTGAAGCCAAAATTGGTGAAGGGACTCGGCTCTACCAGTTTCAAGCGAGCCCGGCAACCTCAAGTCAGGTAGCCCATGTGGCCACTTCAGGTAAGCCTGATAATGTTTTACTTTGGCATAAACGAATGGGTCATCCTAACTTTCGCATTATGCAGGATCTGGCTAAGGCCAACACTGCCATGGACATGGGCCTGGAGACTTTGATTCCAAGAAAGACTACTTTTGCTCTTCCTGCACATACGTCAAGGCCCATTGTAACCCATTTAATAAACGTACCGTTGAACGGGCAAAGCTCTCTCTTGAAAAGGTTCATTCCGATATGGCTGGTCCATTCGTCCCCACACTCTCGGGAAACAAGTATTTTCTGACCTTCATAGATGACTACGCATGGTACATGTTCATCTACATCATCAAACGAAAGTCTGAGCTGTACGAATGCTATGAAGATTTTCGCAAGAAAGCCCAAAACGTTTTTCGTGCTGATGTAGTCGAGCTCCACTTCAATGAGAGCATGCACGATGAAGAAATTAGACATCTTCAAAGCGATAATGTCAGAGAATATGAGTAACTTAGAAAAATCATTTTTCAGAAGTACAATACGCACGCACAACTTACAAATGCGTACACGCCCCAGCGAAATGGAGTAGCAGAGAGGCGCATGCGCACACTACTCGAACGAACCAGGGCTTTTCTCATTGATGGTAATTTACCGCAGGTCCTTTGGGGAGAATGCATCAAACACGTCGCTGATCTTCTGAGCATTACGCCCAGCTCGGTAACCGATAAGGTCACCCCATACGAGAAATGGTTCAAGCGAAACCATCCGCGCACTACATCAAAGTGTTTAGGTGTACTGCGTACGCTCATATCCCTGAGATGCAGCGCACAAAACTCGAACCACGTGCTCAAAAGTGCTTGTAATTAGGACGACTATCAAACAAAAAGGGATATGGACTCCTTGACAAGAAAGAAAACCGTGTTATTTACAGCAGGGATGTTATGTTTAGAGAAGACGAGTTCCCACAGCTGGAATTCCTCAACACACCAACAGTTTCGGACAAACACGGCCCAGCACCGAATCTACCGCCGTCGCTACTAGCACCAGAAGTACCTCTCCGATAGCCTCACTACTAAAATGCAGCGTCCATGCGCTTGCCGCAGAGGATACGATAAAGGTAAAAAAAGGTAAACACAGCACGAATGCTCAGAACGCGAATTAACACTCGTGTCTAATTGATGATCCACTCGACATTAACCAACGAAAAGAGCACCTCACTCATATCTACGCTCTATTAACTATCAGACACATATCTGAGCCAAATACGTTTCTGGAGTCTCAGAAACTACTAGAAGCCCAACACTGGGGGAAGGCAGCCATTTGCGAATACAAATCATTGATTGACAACAAAACGGGGGTCCTCACAAAATTACCGTCATAGACAAGGGCCCTACAGTGGCGATGGGCATTCGCAGTAAAATACAATGGAGACGGCAGTATTGACCGCTATAAAGCTCGCCTGGTAATAAAAGTTTTTTTGCAAAAGTATGGCGCTGACTAAGATGATATATTCTCTCCAGTGATCCGCATGGAAGTGCTGCAACTTTTACTGACGATTGCAGCACTCCTTGACCTTGAGATCCATCAAATGAATGCTAAAACAGCCTTCCTGAACGGATACCTCGATGAGGAAATTTACATGATGCAGCCTAAAGGGTTTACTGTGTGTGGAAAAGAGCACTTAGTCTGTAAGCTTTTGAAGAGCCTATATGGTCTAAAGCAGGCACGTCGAATCTGGTATCTTACTGTGTGCTCTTTTCTTCTCACCATGAAATTCCACAAACTCATTAAATACTAATCTGTTTTCATTGGAGTTGTAGCTACATGCTACATTCTAGTCTATGTGGACGACCTTCTCATCATTGCTCCTATGCTTGGCATCATTAACTACATAAGGAACGCTCTCAAGCAGCACTTCAAAATATCTGATCTCGGTGAAGCTCAATACATCTTAGACTGGTCAAGCGTACGCAACCGTTCGGACAGAACCATTTTCATCCTCCAAGAGAAGTACGCTACCAAAGTCCTGGATCGCTTCTCTCATCTCGATGCACACCCGTTTAATACACCCACTGATCCCAGTGCGAAGCCGACGAAGGCCATGTGCCCCCAAGCGTCAGAAGAAAAGAATGAGATGAAAGCGATCCCGTACAGAGAGGCGGTCAATAGCTTTATGTACTTAAAAATGGGAGCTCCGGAGAAATCGTTTTCCTGTCGATTTCTGTGGTACATCTTCCATTTTAGTTTTATCTTAACAGTTAGATAGAGGACTCAGGTTTTTACCCGGGGTTTTGTCGTGAGCTCTAGCTCAAATACAAATAAGAAAAGCAAGCTGAAACATTGAAGATTTTTGTAAAATAAACGAAAAGTAAATCTGCGATCGACATTTCTGTTGAAGGTGGAGCCTCGTCTCATGGCTATTGCCACAAAAAACTATTTAAA